CCTAAGGGCCACCTTAGCAAAGCGCATCCCAGGCTGCATAGCCGCACTACCCTACCCAACCATACCACACATAAACATGACACTACCCCCGGGGTTTACACAGACGAGCCGGCGAAGCAAGAAGAGCGCCAGAAGAAAGGGCCCTAGCCGGCGGGGCCCAGCCAGGACAAAAGGAGGTCCCACAAAGCGCCTACACCGGCCGCATTTGCGGTCGGGGTAGACGACGGATGGGGCCCACCTACGAAGGCTGTCCAGGCCTACACGAGATGAGGCAGGATAAAGAGGGATAATCCCCCTCGTTCACAAATCATTTAGGCCAGTTTCTAGCCATGGAATAATGGCGCTAGTCTAGTCCAGTCTAGTCTCTAGTCTCCCTGGGTTTGACAGTAGTAAAATTGTCAAATCTATAATAATATGATAATTTGTGGTTAAAATGTTATTTGTTACATTGTCAATATTTATCACATACTTTCATTGTTGAATAGACAAATGTTTTTTAAATTGTGGATAATTTAGTCATGATTTGTAAATTTTACTTGACAATCATATTGGTGCAATCTTATTTTAGTTTTGTTTTAAATGATGGAATTTCTGGAGAAAAGGTTTATTGCTTTAAAAGATTTTTTCGACATGCTTATTTTTTATTCTTTATTATAGAGGGTTGAAAATCGCATTCCAAGTACTGATATTGCTGAAGAAGGAGATGACAGATTATTGTTGTTTGCGACATTAGATGGAACTCTCACGGCAATTGAACAACAAACTGGAAAAATTCGATGGAAAATAAAAGAACGTATGTATTGTTATTAATTTGAAAAGTCACAATGTATTTCGGGAACAAATATATCCAAATTAGATTTATGAAATCCATTTTGTGTCCTATACTTTCAATAGATATACCTACCATGATTTTCTTGATATGAAGTATCAGCTGACCATTTTAATTTTTATAGAAATGGTCATATTTTTTCATTTTACATTTTTATTTACGAACTTCCAGTTTCGCCAGAAGTGTCGTCAATTTTAAAAAGCTGAGTAAAACATCCTGCCTATATTTCCACAGCTGGATCGAACGTTTTGAAGATTTGACAGGGCTATCTTTAATAGTGAGAGATATGGCTAAAAGAGTAATGTGTTAGAGACAGACATGAGTTTGTAATAACAATGTGTGACCAGTATTACCACATTTTAGTCTTTACTTGTATCACACAACAGCCAAAAAATAAGCCTCACTAAAGCATTAAATTTAATTGTTCGTATTTAATTATGTTACATTGTGATGCACTTTTTTGGCTACATCTCCTGTACTATTAAATTCAATCAAACCTTATATCATTGCAATCGTAAGAACACATTTTTTCAAACCTGTGAAACCAAAAATGGTAATAAAAATAGATCGTATAAAATTTTAATAACGAGCGTTCAAATAAAAATGTGGTCGAAGTAGGCTCTGACACATTGGACCTAGGGAGTAGCTTATAGCGACCAACTTAACCTCATTTCTCAACGAGCTGTATAGCAGCTCTCAGTTTCAATAACGATAATGACTATATAACTTTATTTTAAAGAATAATCGTGATAACAATAACAAACAATTAAAGGAGCTGCGAAAAGTGTCCCCCTCCTTGTTATAACAATAAATTAAAGCAGCTGCTGAAAGTGTCCCCCTCCTTGTTCCAAGCACTTTTCACACCTGTTCCTCAAAGAATTAAAGACATTTTCTAAGATGCTCGGGGTATTGTTAATTTCACGAATCTTGTCTATAAGTCGAGCCTGCAGATGGTTTAAATCAGGAATAGGCAGTTCAAAAATAGTGTTTTTAAGGTAAGGCCACAAAAAGAAATCACACGGCGTAATATCACATGACCTCGGTGGAAATTCATGTTCAGCATTGAGACTTATTAGTCGATTTTGGAAAACTTCCCTCAACATATTCATCGTCTCGCCTGCCGTATGTGCCCTTGCGCCATCTTGTTGAAAGTAAAAGTTTGTAATTTCGTTTTCTTCCGGCTGGTTAACAAAAGGTGCGATAATTTCTTCTGTATACCTTTGCGCAGTAAGAGTACCATTAAAAAAATAGGTCCATAAATCCTCCTTCGATTGAGAGCACACCAAACTCCAATTTTTTGAGCGTGTAGAGAGGGCCCTCGACAAAAAAGTTATCTGGTTTTTCAGAAGACCACATTCTCATATTCTGTGAGTTTACGTAACCACTTAAATGAAACCAGGCTTTATCAGAAAAAAAAGGTGATATTATGAAGTTCACGTAGTTGTTTAAAAACCATTCACAAAATACAGCCCGTCGCGGAAAATCAACTTCATGAAGTTCTTGCTAACAAGTTAAACAATAGGAGAACAAACGCAAATCTTTTTTTAACACCGTGTGGCAGGTACCGACTGATACTCCCACCATTTGTGATAAAACACGTACAGAAGTTCTTGGCGCATTTTCCATTATTTGTTGGACATTTTCTTTTAATTCTTCAGTCCGCTTTTTAGGTCGGCTGCTTCCTTCTTTTCTTGTTACACTGCCCGTTTCACGAAAAACATCAACACTGAAAAATTTTGTACTCAACAATGCCGGGAAATTGATTTTGAAATTCTATGAAACATTCCTCAATAGAATACTTCCATATTCCATCAATCTTGCGTCCATTTCTAAAGTAGGACTCTATGATAAACACTTTTTGTTCTTGAGAAAACACCATTTTAAACGCTTTTTAAAACGAAAATATTCAAATTGATAGCGGCGATATAGCGCTTTGACAGATAACGTTTAAGTTCATTTGCTATACGCTACGCCCTACGTCCAAATTTTCAGAACCAACTTGACCACGTTTTTATTTGAACGCTCGTTATATACCCTTCAAGTTTAAAATATAAGTTCATACATATAATTAAATCACTGTAATATACAATGTGTCCAATTTAGTCGGCACCATATGGGATACTTTTTTATTATTGGTGTTATGAAAAAAAGTTATTCTTGATAAAAAGTTCTGCATGGCCTAAAACCCAAAATGATATAATCAGATTTCAAGTTTTTTGCAGTCATATAAAAGGTTTGTCGAAAAATATAAATTTTGCTCAAGAATAAAGTACCTTTATTTTTTACAATATCTACAATAGTTATTAAGAAAAGTTGATCCTAATAAAAAAGTACTGTCAGATAACATTTCTTAATAATGATTGTCGATATTGTAAAAAAATAATGGTCTTGAGCAAAATTTACATTTTTTGACAAACCTGGCACCTATATGACTGCAAAAAATTGAACTCTGATTACTTCATTTTGGGTTTTAGGCCATGCAGAACATTTTCTCAAGAATAACTTTTTCATAAAACCAATAATAAAAAAGTTTCCGATATGGTGCCGATTTAATTGGACACACTGTATAAGCACAATACTTTTATTTATTCTCGGTCTTAAATAAATAACTGCTTTACATAAAGCAGAAATGATGGGCGGAATCACTGAAATTGTGTCATTATTACCGAAAGTCATTACAAACATTTTTTGTTTAATGAAAATATTGTGTATAAGGGGTGTCCCGAATTGTACATATCACGTATGAAGCATTAATAGAATTCAAAATATCAAAGAAATCTCATAACCATGATGTGAAAAATGTTTGATTTCTGAAAGGAAGGTGTTTGGATTGACGTGTCATGATAAAATTTATTTTGTCTTCCTATCTTGGTCAAACATTTTTTCACTTATTTAAGACCAGCACCAGAAAATTTAGCCTTTTTACACAAATGTCTTGTATTTTTTTATTTAAAATGACTCGTTTTGGAGTACTTACAAGTAATTTACCCTTTTATAGTTAGATGAAGAAAACAGAATATAACTCCATTTTATGAGTTGCAATAATGTTGTATACTTAAATTTTCCACTCACCACTTTTACTAATTAAACACTGCAAAGCTCAATTGACAGTTTATCAATAACTTAAATTGTTAAGCATTGTGGCAACGTCAGTCTTTTATTTGCCATGGTAAACAGATTTTTGTAATTTTTGGCCTAATAACTTAAAGAGCAGAATAATTTTCAAACTCAATTTACTCGAAAACCATTGGAAATATCGATTTGGACAAAGATAGAATTTTTTAAGTAAAATTGTTAAGATTTTATAAATCTGTAGAGAAAATTGTAAAAAAATTGAAATAAAAAAATTACGGGCCGAAAATCCCCTTCACCAACCTAAATGGGACGCATATGATTTGCATGTCGAAAAACGGAGTAGCCCATTATTTAACGTAAAAAGTTATGTAAGACCCATAAATTTTTTTCTATTTATTTGCGACTGTTGTCAATAACAGAAAAAAAAACAGTTTTGTTTGAGCCCTTTTAAGGGCATATAACTTCCTAAGGATGCATTTTAGGGCACATGTTAATAGGAACTTTTTGGCTTATTTTAATGAGTTATAAACGCAGCAGAAGTTTGGAACCCTATTTTAGAAACACCCTGTATGACTATGCATTTAAGGGGCCCTGTGCGGCCCTGTATGTAATACAAATTTATTGCAATAAAATGTTAAACTTTAGAAGATGTATTTCTGCTCAAAATTAACCCTAGAACGCCAATGTCAGAAAGTACTACGTTTGTACCAACCATGCGTAAATTTTACGTAAGTTTGAAATAGCATAAAATACATTTTTTAAATTTAGGAAGAAGATTAGTAAATGATAGTACTTATAATTTTAAAATTATTTATTTATTTGTACAAAGCATTAACTCACATTAGAAAAATATAGAACTTAAGAACTTTGCAGTGCAGTTACATATAAACATTCATAGCCGTCTTTGCCATATAATTTACTGGGAATATCAGGAAAAATGGTTTTTGCATATGTATTCTGAATTTGTAACTTCCTGAGTAACACAGGCCGTAGATTGTGAAACTGAATGTAAATCAACTACATCATCTATATCATATGAGGTGGATGAGTCTTCTGCATTATCGCAAGTTTTTGTTTTCTTTTCTAGCCTGTAGTGTTTTAGAACATGTGCTTCGTTTTTTCTTTTGATTGTAGCCCCAATCTTCTTTTAGTTCTTCATTAGGTATATTGCTTCTCATGTATTGGGTCTGGATCATAATTTTTATCATCAATACTCGCTGTCATAATCAACATCCACTTATCATTGTTTTCGAGGTCACTTATATCACTAAAACCACTTGAGTTGAGAATTTGTTCTAAATCTTCATCCGTAAGGATTCTTTTTGATTTTAAAATGCTTCTTGCAGTCATCTTACGCTAGAAAAATTGAAAAAATAATCAAAAACGGAAATATCACCTCATCAGTAATGCTTACCTTACTGCCAACTATACGTCAAAAATACGTAAAGTTGGTTGACGTTAAATGCCAACTACACGTAAAATATACGCGCGAACACGTGAATTATTTGCTATCACCCACAAACAACAACAAAGATTCTAATGATGGCAGTGAGGTTAAAAGGCACTAATGTTGGGGGAAGCACTGCTGGCACCTTAGACCTAACAAGCCTCTTATAGATGTGTAATATCAAGTTTAAATAAAATCGTACTTAAAATTTACATAAGATGGCGTTCTAGGGTTAAATATAAAACAGGATAAATACAAATAACTGCATTATTATTGTTTTTAATTATTATTAATTATAATTTACTGCATCTCCTCAATCAGGAAAAATATTTGTTGCTAATTTAATATTAATAGTTTTTATCATTTCTGTTCTTCCTAAACTGATTAAACAATGCAATCATAAATAATTTAAATAAAGACACAAAATGTTCACTAATTTGCTCTTTTTAATACTAAGATTCAAATTAAACAATAATTTTTTATTGTACTATAACCATTTAATTCTAATTATGAATAACAAACAATTAAATAATTATATAAGCCATGAAAACATACAATAAAATTGCAGCCCCAATCTAAAATTTACAAAATTGTTCTCAAACCATGCATGTGTTACATTACTTGAATATTTTTTGCTTTTGAATGCTTGGACAGTAATTTCCCTGCAAACGTCAGTTATTCTCTCTCATATGATTAAATAGATGCTGCTTCTAATGCTGAAAAAAAACCTTTATTATAAATAGGTATGGTTATTAAAAATAGTTGAATATTCTTAAGTAATGCCAATCATGATCTGCCTCTAAATCTGAGGATTGTTTTGATTTACTTCTCTGTAGCCCCTACAACTGCTGTATATGGAACAAATAGTTAACACCAGTATTGACAGTATTGATAATTATTAGTGTAATATTTTTTATTATATGTTGTGTAAATTTCTAAATATTCTGTTGATGTTATAGAGCCTATAGTTCAAGTACCTCTGGATGTACCCAATGCAATTTTACCAATATTTTTACCAGACCCAAGAGATGGATCTTTATATTTATTAGATAATTCCAGAGAACCTTTGCAAAAATTACCATTCAGTATTCCTCAATTGGTGTCTTCTTCCCCTTGTAGAAGTTCTGATGGCATATTATACACAGGTTTGATTTTTATTATTATATTTATTCATTTACTTTATTTTAAATAATAAGTAAACAAAAATTGTTCATTACCAATGAGAATGCACATTTAGACTGACAACAGATTAAACTCATGACAAATATCGTAACATCTGTTGCTTAATTTAACGTAAATGTTAACATATGTTAGAAACGATAGTAACTTCCTACTAGCGCAATTATGCTAGATTTGACTTTAAGACATATGAGGAAACATTCAGATTCAGTATTTTAGTGAGTTAATTATCACTATTTAGATGAATGGTAATTGTCCTTCCTCAACATGTAATCAGTTTTGAATTTATTTTTATTTAACATTTTTTCAATAATGACAAATTGAAAACAACTGGAAAGAAAAAAGCTGAATTCAGTACCCTTTTTTCTTGACTATAGCCACTGAAAAGTTCATATAGAGCGATTTTTACTTTAAAGAGGATCGGGTGCATCATTGGGGGGTGAAGCGGAACACGGGGGCCCTATACTATCGTTGTCAATGCAAAGAAAAATATTCTTTATGACTAGAAAGACTAAGATACTTGCTCGTAAACATTGAATAAAATTAAATTTAAAATGCTTATAATTATATATTTCCATTTCTTTATTATTATTTTTTACCCGATATGCATAAATAAATGCCATGAATTGCAACAGAAACTTGGCAACAGTGCACGAGTATGTTGAGATTATTATTTGTAAGTTGCAGTCCTTGTCATATATATAGGTATACATTATGCTATGTGATTGCTCGCACAGCTGATTGCTTTAACCTATAAAAAGTCGAATGAAGAACAGAGTCGATAGAAAGGAAAAATTGTGGGCAAACGAAAGTATGAGTGCTTGAAAATTAGAACAGAAAATGGCAAAAGGAGGAAAAAAGCTGTTGAAGAGAAGATTGCGGAGCCTCAACCTCCTCACACCTTTCGAGGGCATCGACTAATCGACATAAAGTACATGGCACAAAACATGTAATGCTTTTTTTACAAATATCGTTTATGTATTTTAGGTTATATACAAACTGGGATCTCGAAGTAATTCGCGAGGATATGTTTAAATATGATTTAGTTACGTGCATAAGTAGCATACTTCAGTGCATGCACTTCTATGAATACAAATTTATTTATTTATTTAAGTTACACCACCTGACACTTAAAACCAATTAATAGGTGGAGAAATAGCTAATAAAAATAGATGCATTAACAAAATCAGATATCAATTAAAGTACAAAAGTAAAAAAAGCAGTTAACAATAACACAAATTTTAAAAAAAAGTGTAAAAGATAATCATTACGTGGACTTAATAAAAAAATAGGACTAAATAAAAAAAATAAAAACAAAGAAATAAAAAAAATAAATAGTGTTCCTTATCAGTCTTAAGCTTTTAAAGCGATTGCGTTTAGGAAAGTATAATACAATTTGATTAACTATGTGGTACTATACTGTGATACGATGTTAATGCAGTCAAACGTATTTTAAAATTCTGAAAATATACTGAAATTATTGAAAGGTTAATTTTAAAATGAAAAATGATATTTAAAATGTCATAATTTATTAAAAGATATAAAATTGCTATATGCACTATGATGCAAAGTATAAACATTTCATTGTTTATATGCCGCTGTATTTTTTACTTGTATTGAAATTATTAAACATATTTAATTTGAAAATATCCCTTTTTATTTTAATATTCCAAATAATATTATTCATTGCAACACAATTGAATTACACAAATAAACACAAGTTGAATGACCAATTTGTGTATCGAAACGTTTATTTAAATTTCCTGCCACTTAACCTCATTCATACTCTATTGCGCTGTTGCCGTTACTCCTTCACATTTATTAATACTTGGCGGACGACAAGTCGGATCTTTTTATGTTTGATAATCTATTTCTCTGTTAAATGTGCGGTAACCTAAATTTTTTCTTTCTCTCATCTATTCATTAATGATTCAGGCAAATGTCTATATTTTTTTTGTCTTACCATACAGATTTTTTCATCCGTAACTCGATTGAAGGGGTATGTATGATAGCATTTCCCGTAAGAACCTATGTTAAATAATCAAATTTTTGGCATTAATTAAAAACAAAAACAAATCTATAAATAATTCAAGAATAATTCACAGAATTTGATTCCACATTGCAAAAGTAATATATCCCAATAATTCGAAATTGGCTGCATTTCTTCGTAGCACCCAATCCTCCTTAATTCTCTCCTATCTAACAGCAGATACACTGTTTGAAAATGTCACAAAACTGAATTGAACTGTAACTCGAAAAAAATTAACATTTCTGTTTTAAGAACGTGTCCAATTTGAAATTGCAATGTTTAATTATGTCACAGGAAAGAAAAAAGACATCTGGTTTAAATTGGATCCTATAACAGGCAATAAGGAACAGGTTTTAGGCTGGGATGATCATGGCACTCAGTGTCCCGTTGATTCGAAAACGTCAATTTACATTGGACGAACAAAATATGACATAAAAATGGTCAATGGTAATAATCCTGCAAATAAATGGAATGTAACATTTTATGTCTATGCAGCTGCCGATATGAGTAAAGAGGAATTAAACAATTATGGTAAATATATTTAGTAGTTGTTGATAAGTTTATGATTACATACTTCTTATTTTCTTACTAATAGAGACTTGAATTACAAACCCAGTAATAAGGGTTTCTGGTTGAGACTTCTCTAAGCGAGAATTCCCTGGAAATCTGGCCTTACTCGAGACGAGAGAAAAGTGTTGAGAAATCGAAAAATTTAAAAATCACGCGCGTCTTAAGTTCTTGACTGGAGTTCGTTTCATTCATGCGTTCAATTCGTTTCTCGACAAACAACTGAGCGGTTAAAGTGTTTCTCAACTAGCTCATGATTTATTTATTTTAAGTTTTTAAGGCTTTAGTTCACTTTAATGATTCTTATTTTTTTATTGGACCTAGTTATAAGTCTGCGTAGAAATTTTATTATAAGCAGATACCTAATGTTGATGTTGATTCTGAATATATTTAGTTCCTGTTCCTTTATTTAGTTGATTATTTACCTTTGACAGCTAGATTTTGATTGTTTCCTAGAACAACACTCAAACTATTTACTTCTTCTATTGTGGCAAAGTAGTCACTTCATATGAGCTGAGGCACTGCTTTCCAAAATCCACGAATCTGTATCAGAATAATTTGCTGTCAGCTAAATACAATAAAAGCACTTTGTCTACTTGTTCCTTCTCGATTTGTATTTTCTCTGTTTTAATTGGGCTCTTCCTTCACTTTTGTCCTGCAATATTTAGCAATGTGACCATTCTTTCGACATTTCTACATATAAAGTTTTTCTCCAATTGCTTCTTTTCGTCTTTCGTCGACACTGCAGCCAGTGCACTCTCCATCTCTTCGTAAGAACCCAAACTGGCCTCCTCGTCTAAAAGACGAGCTGTTAAATTTGGTATTGTTTGTTTTGACCCCTCAAGAGATAACCAAGCTTGTCTAAAATTTCTACACTTTTGAGGTAGTGTGCTTAATATCTTCACCATAATAGCAGCCTCGCTCAGGGTCTCTCCTGACTCTTTGACTTGTTTAGCCATGTATTCAATTTTCGAAATATGCTGCGCAATCGAATCATTGGAATTCATTTTATACTGATGAAACTTCTCATAGAGTAACATTTTATTAACCTCTGACTTTTGCATGTAAATGGAATCTAACTTATACATTATTTCTTTAGCCGATTCACAATTTTCAATTAAGATTATCTGCGATAACTCCATGGCAGCCGTTAGAGTAAACATTGTGTTTGTATCTTTTTTGTTCCATGCATTTAATGTTTCTCCGGTTTCCTCTGGTTTTGCTTTATTGCCATAGACTACGTCAAAAATTCCTTTTGCCTTTAGGGCGCATTTGATTTGAAATTTCCACTGAGGATAATTGCCCCCATCAAACTTACTGATGCTTGCTACGTCAATTCTGTCCATCTTCAAACAAATTTTCCTGACCAAAAAATGTTACATAAACGTCTTTTTTCGTTTTCTTCACCTGCATAGAATTTGTTCTATCCAGCGATGAACTAGGCCTATAACCTGTTACAGATTATAGATTCTGTACAGATGTACGAATTAACTCTTCAGGAATAAAAATTACTCTTTATTAAATCAACTTTACAAAAGATGACAGATTATCTAAATATCCATAACATATTTTTTTCATAGAAACAGCATCAATCAGCCATCTTAACAAAACATAAAAATAAACTTAATTTCTAGCACTCAAACAGTTAAGCACCCTGTAGATCTCTATTAATTGACAAATTAGTAATGGCTTTTTAAAATAAACAAATGTGTGACGCATTACTATTTTCTTTTAGATTTGGTACACTTCACTTCCAGTTCCAGTGGAAGAGTGATTATTTTAGATCGAAGACGAGGCAGTTTACTATGGGATGGCGATTTAGGCAGTCCAGTAGTAGGGACATATTTATTGGATCCAGAAGGTCTTATTTCGGTGCCTTATACAAGTTTAGCTAACCATACTATAATATATTTGCTGCAACAGTTAATATCTCATAATGGACTTCTTGAAAATTCAAATCATATGAGACTATAGTAAGTAGTTATTTAAACATATACAGTAGAATCTCTATAATCCGGCACTTCATTACAACGTCAAGTCCAGTAATTCGGCGTTATTTTTTTCACATTTGCCTGCTATCCTTGAAGAATACAGTTTATACAGCTATAATTTAGTTGAAAGATTATTTTACAGAAACATAAAAACATTACAATATGTATTGTTATGATTTGTTCTTGTAATAACATAAAACAGAAAAAAATTACTAAAATGTAAATTTTTGAAGTAAATTGAATTACATGTTTACTTATGATATAGAGAAAACTTACATAAAAGGGATGTGGAACACAGAAAAGATTAAAATGAAGGATATATTTAAGTGTAAAATTAGTTTTGTAGTAATATGAGATAAAACCATTCAATGAGACGATTCAAACTGTCAAAATGATGATTAAAAATTAATTTATACTTTAAATAGTTGATAAAATGCACTCATGCAATATAAAAAAGTTTATAAGCATGGTAAAGAACAATTTATTAATGTATGTTAGATTTTAACCTGTACAGTAGGGTTTAAGCAAATTTGAAAAAATTCAAATTTTGACAAGTTGATTGACGGATGGAAAAGGAATTACACACATAAATGAGAAACATGCAATGAATCTTGTATAAAATTAAAATATAGCATACCTACAATAAGTATTTATGTGTGGAATTAAACTTTAAAAGTGTTGTAGAACTGCGAATTAGTTTGTGCAGTGCGCAAAAGACCTTAACATCATAAACTGTATTGAGATTCCAACCCAAGTTCAAATTTATATGTATTGTAAACTTTAAAAGTATTCTATGAATCGACAAACCTAAAGCATTTCAATCGTTAAGTTTCATAAACAGGAAAAAGACTGTTAGAAAAGTGAAAAAGGGTTAATGTTAAAGACAGTGAATTGACCTACAGTTAGAAAATTAAACTGTATAACCTAATTTAGTCAAAATTTCCAAAATTGAGTAAAATTTGTTGAGAGTTTGAAAGTTAACGTAGAAAGAAGTTATGTGTATCAAAATATTCAGAAAAATTAATAGAATCTAAATATATAAAGATCATGGAAATTAAAACATGCATAAGGTCAGTATTTTAAAAATAAAAATTCTCAAAAGTTCAGTTTGACATATCCATGGCAACACTTCATTTGTTTTTAGTTCAATAAAAGTAAAAATCGAGCTCGAAGTAGCCAGTCTCTCATAAGCTTCCAAGCCAGAAACATTGTTAGTTTGGTACCTGAAAAACAAGTGAAAATCAGTAAAAATCAATAAGTTTGTGAAAATTACCTATCCAGTCATCTGAAACGTGAAACGTCAGTCACCTTGAGTAATGTCTAATGTCATAAACAATCAATGTTCGTACATGGCTAAAATCCATAAAAATTTTAATGACAATGAGTAGTGAACCTAAAGTTTGACATTAAAATTTGAACAAGTCAATATTGCGGAATAAATAAAAATTGGTCAAATCATAACTGAAGTGAAGTGAAAGCACAGTGTTTTGCTAGTCACATACAAGTTTCTAGACAACGATGCAACTATCCACGTGATCAGCAGGTAGCAGACCAACACATGGATCCATAGTTCGAGCATGAAACCAGCGTAACAACAAAGAAAATTGTGAGCTGGCTAACGATCTATTTGGCTAAATATTATCACATAAATTTCGAAATAACCGCATGTGCATATTACGTAAAAAAACAAATTTCATTTCTGAAAATAAAACTTAATAAGTCATATCAAAATCTTAAATCATAACACTGGAAAATTTTATGTAATTATGTTATTTAGATTAAGTAGGAAAATTTGTCAATTATAATATTGCATTTGAAAATTGTAATATATCCGTATTTGTGAAACTTTAAAGCTATCTTTCATTTTAAAATACTTTTAAGTGAAATCAGACAAGAAAGAATTAAAGGAAACCACACTCTGTAGTTGAGTCAACTCTACACAGTGAAAATAAGTACAACATATTAAATATAAAATTTAAATACAAAAATTGATTATATGGCGCCCAATTAATAATATCCAAATAATAATTTTCAAAATTAAAA